TGCATGTGGAGGGAGGGGCAGTCTCCAGCAGACTCCCTGCTGAGCCCAACACAGGGCTTGATTCCTGGGCCCATGAGATCATGACCTAAGCCAAAACCAAGAGTCCAACACTCAACCGACTGAGCCACCAAGGCACCCCAAACATGTTCAACTCTAAAACCTCCATCCCTTTACATAGTGATGCACCCTCCACCACTAGCCTAGTCCCAGCCAGGTCCCAAAGGACCTCAGATGTATCCTGGAGAAACAGAACAAAAAGAACAGAGGTTTTGGGGTGCCTGGCTGGCTCAGTTGGAGGAGCATGTGACTCTTAATCTCCGGGTTGTGAGTTAGAGCCCCATGTTGGATATAGAGATTACTGAAATAAATAAACTTTTTAAAAAAGAACAGAGATTTTAAAGTCAAGCAGAATACTTAACTTCTCAGAGTATGCTTCCTTATGTGTAAAATACAGGTTATATCTACCTCATAAATTGTTGACATGTTAAGTAAGACAGGGTGTAGAGTATCTGGCACAGTGTTTAGTATATAAAAGGGGCGAAAAATGTTAATTTCTTTTCTACTTAAAATAATTTGTAAAGTCACTAACGTTAGTGTAGTAAAATGAAAACCGCCTAACAATTATTTAATCATAACAAAGCAAACAGACTGGTTTTTTTGAACAGTTCTGTCAGGATTACTATTTGTAGAACAGATGGTTTTATATAATAAATTCCTTGAAATGGATAGCTTCTATGGTAGTTCTTGGGTACCTCTGATAGATAAATTAAGTTCAGATCACCTTAAAACATCAAAGTTATTTTAAATAACATTTTAACATAACAATAGATGCATCGCTTGCTATTATACCTCAGTTCAGCTTTAGAAAAATGTCCTTAAATACTCTCCTCCCAATATTTCACAAAAAAGTACGAGAATTCACACCTCCGCTACATCCTGTTTTTTAAATACTCCACTGAATTCACTCATTATATTTTTGTTTTCACCTTCAGAAATGGAGAGAGAACTGGTTTGTAAGCCGAAACTGCTGTATTTACTTGTAGCTTAAGTGTCATCTTTTATGATTTTTTTAATATACAAGCGTTAAATGTAAATTAGATAAACTTCAGCCTGATCAAAAGGAATCTACTTCTTGTTTCAGTGTTTTAGACATTATAAACCTTTATTTATTTATTTGCTTACTTATTTTTAAGTAGGCTCCATACACAGTATGGAGCTCAACAGGGGGCTTGAACTCATGACCCTGACATCAAGACTTGAGCTGAGATCAAGAGTTGGCCACCTAACGGACTGAGCCAGCCAGGAGCCCCTAGACATTATAAAGCTTTAAAAAGCACAAGAGAAGGATTGAAAACAAAAGCCCAGATACCTCTTTCCTTCTATGTCTAGTTATCTGTAACTGACTACATAAATCAGCTAGATGAGTCTACACAGACCTTAGCACAAACTAATATGTTAGATGATGACCCTAAATATCAGTCTCATACCTCAGCCCTATGAAGTATGTAGCATTTTTCTTCCTTAAAAGATGAGAGAAATCAGTTATACTATTTTCTTCTAAGTGGCCTGCCCAAAGTCAAACAGCTAGACCATGAAAGAGATGGCATAAAACCCAGGTCTGTCAAACATGAATACATACCACTCTACTGTATACATTTGCTTGTCATGATCACTGTCTGCCATCTTGTAAAGAAGACCAAGTCAAAATAGTTGAAATTGAGTTCTGGATCTGCCACAAATCAGATGTTTAACCTTCAACATGTAAGTAATCATCTTGATGCTGTAATTTTACACCATCTTAGTATCTTAGTTTTCTACTCTTTAGGGGCGGGCTGGGGAGGACGCAACACACCAAGGCCAAGAATAGACAACTCAATGAATAGTTAATGACAGATGGAAATTTTTCTGTCCTTACTAGTCATCAAAAATTTCAAATTAATACAAGATACCATCTTCCAACCATCAAATTATCAAAGATCAAGATAATTAAACGAACACTCATGCATTACTGACAGTTGTATAAACAGATACAACTTCTTCAGTTATTTATAAACATGTATTAAATGTTTATATCCTTTTACCTAGTACTTCCACTACTGGAAGATATCTTATGCAACAATCCAAAATAAGGAAGTTTTACGCATAAATGTTCAATACAGAATTATAATATGTAATAGAAAATAAATGGCCTAAACATTCAACCACAAGGAAATGATTAAGCTATAAAATAGTTGCCAGGTGAAATATTATATAGCCACTGAAATGATTTTTACAAATGAAAAACACTTATCAAAATGTTAAGTTGAAAAAAACCCCAACAATATAAAATGAAATATATAACATGGTCACACAGATGCATTAAAAACATTAACAGAAACCACCTTTGGGTGATGGGACTAGAAAGACAGGATCCAACAATGGGAGGAACACAGTCTGCATGTCCACTCCACTTTCCTAAGAGTAAGGCATTATTAATTATTATTCTATAATCTCCAAATTTGAAATAATGAACACTAGTACTTCATAACTGAATATAATAGCTAGATTATTTCTAAGACTCAGTTCTAAAATGCTAAAATTTAAAAATGCATTTTTGATCCACAGAAGAATTTAAAAATAACAGAACACTTAGAATTACTAGCTGATCTTCTATTCTCTTTCCATGGCAGAGGGAACATGGTTTCCCTCCAGCCTTCCAGTCAAGGGAAAAAGCAGCACCATCTATCAGTCTTAATTATAGCTATTACTTATCAAATCATGGAATAAAAAAAGCAGGCACTATAAAATAGCCTTAGTCATCAAATTTCGAATTTCGAATCACCTAGCTATCTGTAGGTATTATGGAAGAAAAAAGAAACTCATTCACTACTCAGAAATGAACTCTCCAATAGGAATCCCTGACTCATCCCCAAAGCATGAACCCCAAGGCTACTTCCCCAGTACAGAAGTTCAGAGACTGGGCACCTGTCCTGATGGCCTTCATCACCAAACAATGCTCTTTCCTGAGAGGATATGCCCAGGGATAACAAGATGACTAGCATGCAAACTAGAAGAGACCAAGGACCACACCACCTCTTCTTCCATAACCAAAATAAAGCCTGTTTTAAACTTTTAAACTATCCTAAGTAAGTATTTTCTATTTGCTAAAAAGTAGTAACAAGGGGACTCCATCCAATTACTGTTAAGTGACTATCCAAAAGATACCAACACAATAAAAATTCTCACTAGTAAGAAGAGAAAATATCCTCTTTTCTTTACCTCCCTTGGATCAAAAATTAATTTTTCAAAACTACATAGGCTAAATATCAACAGAAAATGTTTAAAATAAGGCAGATTATTTTATCTATATTTTTCCGTTTTCAAAAGATACGAAATCTTACTCCTCTCCTCTATTATTGGTCTAGGAAGACGGGAATCACAAAGCTCAACAATACTATTATAATACTGTATAAGGTCAACGATCTATTTTATAAGCTGTTAACAATTTTAATGCTAAAGCTTTACTACATCCTAGTCTCTTTAAAATGTGAAAAAGTATTTCAGTGCTAAAAGTCATTTCACCTGCACCTTGTAAACAATTAAACCGTACTTTGAAACAAAAACTAGCCAATGTTTGCTGCTCTTTCATTTTCATCGACATTAACTGTGTACCCTTTTTACAATCAAGAATCTCGGAGTTAAGTGATTATTCTTGGAGGTGTATCTTGTCCAGGAGCAAAATTTTCCCTAGCTTATTTCCCATTCCTAAACCCCCGCCAAGGCTAAGGAGCAACCACTTCCCAAAGTCCCACTTCCTTTTCCATTCCCCAGACCTCCAGAGTTTCCAACGCCCCAGTCTTGCGCAATATCCGTAGGAGCCGCAGCCGCAACCACCGCCTCCTAAACCGAGAAACAACCCTGAAGGGAACATTGTCCAGCAGAAAAATAAAAGGGGGGGGGGATGTAGGAAGTCGACTTCTGGTCCCACGCCTTTGGATCTGACCCCCTCACAAGTGATGTATCTAGAGCAATTTCACGAACAAGACTTTTAACCTCCTCTCCAGCCGGTCTGCCCAAGCAGAGGGCGGAAAGGGGGGGGGGGGGGGAGGCTGGAAGGTTATCTCCCAGTTCAGGGCTTCGGCCCGTTTCGTTGCCTCCGCCCCACCAGGACTATTGTTCCCAAGTTCCCCACCCCCACCCCGGATAGGAAGTGATAGTCACATCCCCTCCGCCTTCCACAATATCCCCTAGGGAGTCCGAAGTAGGCTTCCTTCTGGATAACCGACCCCTGCACACACACACTTACCCCCTCTAAACCTAAAGTCATGATGACCCCAACGCCATCTCACACCTGAGTCTCAAGAGACACGAGATGGGACGGGGGTAAATGGAATTGGGCAAGCCACGGGATTCCCTACGGACAATCCTTTCCCAAGCCTTGGAGATAATAACTACGAACCCCAAAACGGCAGAACTCCTACCTTGCCCACTTCTGAGACCAGCTTGAGCAAAGGGACCCCACGAGTTAATGCCAACCTCAACATCCCCGTTCCTCCATCAGCCGCGATCTGCTCTCCCTGGGTAGACACCTTGCCTCGACCCTACAAGGAGGGGCAGGCTGGATGGGGAGCGGGGGGTGAAGAGACGAGTCCCCCCGCCTCGGGTCTGCACCTCAGTCGCCTCCGGCTCCCGGCCCAAGAAACAATAGGTGGTCGCGGGCGGCAGTGCCGAGTACGGGCTCGATCGGGGCCGCTCCCTTCGCTCCCCTCGCTCCCCCCGCTCCCCCGGCGCCCGCGGAGGGGGCCGCGAAAGCGTGAGGGGAGGAAAGGAGGCCGAGGGACGGAGGCGGTCTCACCTCCTGCCCGCCTCCAAGACCACCCGGCCCTAGGAGTTGATGCGCGCCCCCTCCGCCCCTCTCCTCACAGCCGCACACAAAGCGCTGGCGGCCCGGGCCGGCCGGGCGAGGCGGCGGTGGGCTTCGGTGCCGGCGAGAGCAGGCGACAGCAAGGGGAACGACTCACCATGAAGTCCCGGGCGAAGTTGTCCTCCCCATTGTGGTCCGGACTCTTCATGGCCTGTACCCTCTGGATGAATTTCCTCAGGATCTCCACTTGCTCCATCCTCCCGCGTCCCCCCGGCTGCGGTGGCTGGCCCCCCCGCCGCCCGCCCGCCCGGCGCAGAGCCCGCTCAGTCTTCCCCAGCTCGCTTCCCCAGCCCTTCCCCTCCCGCCCGACCCCCGCCAAGCCTCGCCGCTCCCTGCTCCTCCCCACCGCCTAAGGCGGCGGCAGCGGAGACACCGGCCCGGCTCCCGACCCCACAACTTCCAGGAGCAGCCGCCGTTCTCCCACAGTACGAGGCAAGCCGCTGCGGCTAGCGCCAACCCCAACCCCCAGCTTGCTCCATCCTCCTTCCCCGCCCTCCTCCTCTTTCGTTGGAGACGCCGCCACCGCCTCAGGAACACGGCTCTCCGCTCGCCCTGCCCCCCCTTCCCGGTTCCTCCTTCACCCCCCCCCCCACTAGCAGCCGCAGCCGCCTCTCCCCACGGGCGCGGCCCCGCCGCCACCCCGACGCGCGGCCCCGTGCTGTGGCTCCGCCCCAGGCGCTGGGACGCCCGGTCCGCCCCCTCCCAACTCGCCTCTGGACCACTCCCCCCAAGCCCGCCCCGCTGGTCCCAGCCCCTCTCCGAGTGGCTGGAAGGCTCTTGGCTGTCGTCTGGGCGACTTGACTCTACTTCCGGGGCGTGGTCCCGCCCGGGCTGTAAGTCGATCTGAGGAGGTCTGGCAGGAGGGAATTCGCCTCTGAGCAGGGTAAACCCTAGTCAGTCACATAAGATTATAGTTGGAACTTGCGGGCTCACGGCCTACTGGTGGGAAAAGCATATTTTTAGAGTGCTTCCGCGCCGCCCATGGCTGTGGGCTGGGACTACGAGTCCCGGCCCGCGGGAATCCAGGAGCGGGGGCGGGAGAGGGCGGTGGTAGGAAAGAGAGGCATGCTGGGAACTGTAGTTGTGTCACCCCCGCGTTCACAGCAGGTATGTCTTCATCTTACTAGTGGTTTGGTGACTGTTGACGGCAAGTAGACCTTGTCACTTTGGGGAATGGCTACGGCCCAGAGAAATGAAACGTTTCTTGAGTGAAAGGACTTTTGCAAATCCGTCTAAACCCTGGCGACTGAGCGTCTAAGATTTGGAGTGCTTTCTAATACCTACCGCGCATGTGGCGAGGGCTCAGTGTTTGCTGAATGAAAGGGAATTTGTCGTCTTGCGCTTAGATTCGCAGCCCTTCAGAAGTGACTTTTCTCCATAGAATGGACTTTATAAATTTTCATACATCTTTGCAAATCTTCTAGTAATCAGAGAATATCTGTTTTAGTCTAACTCACCATTTTACAAAAAAAGCGATTTGTCTAAGATCCCCCCCCCAGCATATTCTTAGCAGAGACAAAACTAGAACTCAAATCTTACTGCTTTCAGTACAACACTTATATTGCCTCTCACTAAGGAAGGTAAAGATGTGGTAATGTGACAGAAGTGAAGGATTTGATCCGTGGACTTCTTTTAGTTCCTTATACCCACAAAAACATTTTTTACAGATAAGCTGGGGAATCTGGTTAAATAGGAAACATAAGTTTAAAAATAATAACAACTAATGTATCCAATCCCATCCTCCTCTCAGAAATATGCATTTCCAGGTGTGCCCTTCTAAATCTCTTCCTATACGTTTATATGTTGTATGTGCATATAAAAAGATACAGTTTTGTTCTGTATTTAAAAATTTACTTAGAGGAATAGTTCAGTTTCTAAGGTAAGCTTTATCTGAAGCAAGGGTCTGGAGTATTTTACTTTAATCAGATCCTGAGACTCAGTTTCACTGGATGTAAGAAAAGATCAGGATCTGGGCTTGCTCACCTACCAAGACAGCTCACTGTAGGTAACCCTTTTCCCCCAGAACTGGGAAAGAAATTAGACTCTAAGCAAAGAAATGGGTAGATGATCAGGAGTGGCTGTACTTTCGCTGTATCAAAAGAATGAACAAACCACAGGGTGGTTGATAAAGACTATATGCTAGACAAGTTGTCTAATAGTCTAGGGACAGTCTGATGGAAAGTGTTACTTGTTTTGAGTTATTGAGTCTCATTTTGGCTAGTGTTTTTGCAGTGTTTTTACTTTCCCTCTTACTGGCAGTTTTCTCTTTCTTATAAAACGTGAGTGTATTTTGAGTTCTTAACAGCTACCTTTGGCGTCTGATAAAGGTTAGGGAAAACAAATGTAAAGTACCCTTATGTATTTCAGCTCTTTTGCAAAGGCTTAGCCATGCTTTCATCATTTTAGTATACTTAGGTCACGTTTCGATCTACAAATAATTTTTGAGCACCTCAGAATATGAGGCGTTGTGCCGTGTGTGAGAGATACAAAAATGTTTTAGGGGTGGCTTCTTAGAGTTTATAGCCTGGTTCAGGAGACAGGAAAAACAATAAACTTAGTTATATCGTGAGTTAATAAATACCAAATGAGTGATACGGACATTGAGTGGTTTAGCAATTCTGAGAAGAGACTTGTGAACCAGTTATCACATGCAGTGGTCACAGAGGACCTTGAAGGATATGTAAAATTGGGTTTGAACAGAAAGAAGAACCCCCAGATAAGAGAAGTGTTGAAACAAAAAACATGAAGACAGCAAAGCAGAAGTTTGAAGGACAACTTTTATATGCCTGTGAGGGTGCTAAAGTAGATAGGGATTGGAGAGCATTAAATGCCTGGCTAATGATTTGGACTTCATATTGTCAGTGGGAGCCACCAAAGGTTTTTGAGAATAGAAGGAAAAATAGGAAAATAGTAATCTGGCATTTTTTGGATAAAGCGTGACTTAATAAGGGGAGAGAATGGAATGAGGTATTAGGAGCCAATATATGAAGCAACAAAAGCTGTAACTAAGGTCATAGCACCACAATTACAAAGACATAGATGGAGATGAGAGAGACAAAGAACTCACAGAACTAGGTGACTGACTGACTTAGTGGACAAGAAAGAAGGTAGAATTAAAAATGACTGAAATTACCAGATTGGGAGAGATCAGAAAGTTTGACGGAACACAGGACTATGCATGGTTTGGGCAAATGGGAACGTTCATGCACCAATGGTGAGAGAAATCTGCACATCTTTGGAGGCAGTTTGGCCATAAATGTATAAAAATGGAAACGTCATGCATGTTGTAGCTGAAAAATTTATAGATAATATTTACAGCTGTATACAAACATCTATGCTTATTGCAGCCTTATTTGTAATGGCAAGAGTAGAAACAACGTGCCTGCATATCAAAAGGCACTGGTTAAAAAACAAAATCACATACATATAATTAAGGTTTTTTAAAATTTTTTTAAAAAGATTTTATTTATTTGACAGAGAGAAAGAGAGAGCGCACAAGCAGGGGGAACGGCAGGCAGAGGGAGAGGGAGAAGCAGGCTCCCTGCTGAGCAGGGAGCTCAATGCAGGGCTCAATCCCAGTTCCCTGGGATCATGACCTGAGCCAAAGGCAGCCACTTACCCGACTGAGCCACCCAGGCGCCCCTAATTAAGTTTTTTGAGGCCATTCAAAATATGAAAAAAATAGTCTATGTATGTTGATGTGAAATAGGTCCCAAGATCTTCTTATTAAATGAGAAAAGCTAGGCATTGTGTTATATGTATTCTTACTTTTATGTAAAATGGAATGTGGATAAAATGCTTGAACACAGAATTTTTCTGAAGGATATTTCAAAAACTTAGCCGTGTTTGCCTCTAGGAAGGCCTTGACAATTTTTGGTAGAAAGGAGACAACTTCCAATGTGTATACCCTTTTATATTCTAAATATTTTTCTGTGTATGCATTACTTTTCCAACAAAATTAAATCTATTCAGATTTTTTAGACTTTCAATCTAGATGATAGATAGGAAGAATGGCAATATATTTAATAAAAACACCCGAATGAAAAATGAAAGCAGCTCTTATTTGGGAGATTTTTTAAAATAGCCCAGGCTAAGTTTCGAAATGCTGACCTGTTTACACAAGAATTCTCAAGAAAAGACCACCTCGCACGTCCTCAGCCACAGCTGCACTTGACCCACATTAACCAATCCATGTAAACTGGCCAGCAGCAACCTGTGGCTTGGTGTAGGAGCATGACCGTGGCCAGTCAGTTCTCACTGTTCGGAATCTGAACTTAGAAACCTAGAGAGAATAAGTCATGAAACCGCAAGGGCAGAAGCTGAATGCTGCGGGATACAATTAGGGCAGGCCTTGTAAGAATAGAAATTATAAAGAATCTGGTTAGTCACGAAAGGAACATTAAGCAGGCATGCAGAGATGTGTAGAGATGTCACGATATGACCTGTGTGGCCATGAGAGAGATGGGGAGATTCCCTGGGACAACTTGACTGACTGAGGACTTTTCAGGACAGGTTTGGTTGGCATCTATTCCATAAATAGATTCTGCTTTTCCTGAAACAGAATAGGGCAAGAATAAAGAGCCTGGGCTCTGAAGTGAGAGAGATGAAGTTTCAAACGCCCACTCGATTTCTTCCCTGGGGTGTCACTTCAGCTCTCTAAGCCTTGGTTTCGTCTTCCAGGAGGTGTGTTGCAGAATTGGTGTACCACACGTTACCCTTGCGCCCAGAAAACACAAAGTAAGAGCCGGTTAAACAAATAAGCAATGAATGCTTTCTGGCCCTTTAATTTTTTACCTCCTGTCTTTTCTTCTTTAGGCTCTCGCCCTACTCACTAGCCACCTTCACTCTGGGTAAAGACATGAGGGATGAAAAGAAAGCCAAAATACCGGTTTCAGAATTTATTTTCTTAGTGCATTTGTGAACGTTGGAGTGAGAGTTTGAAACCAATAATTCAGAATGGGTTTCAGGATTATCTACCTGTTTCATATTCACTGTATCCCTTTCCCCTCTCAGGTAAAAGTAATGCTTTATATCTGTGTAGAAATTCTAACTTTTGGAGTATTTTTACAACTATTCTCTCATGAAAACTACCTTTGTTATGGCTTACAAGGCATTATAACTCTTTGTGAGTTCTTTTTTGTTCTTTTTAACAACTCTGGGAGGTAATTTGGCATCCTTGTCCTCATTAATAGATGAATAACTAAATAAAACACGGGAGTGAACATGACCAGCTCACTTGTAAAAAACAAATGTCAGACGCGTTTCCAGAACCCACAGGTCCTGAGTTTCCAGCTTGTTGCATAAACCACTGAGTCACAATGCTTTAATACCTGGTGTAATTTAAGTGAAACTACAGATGAGGATTCAAACCATTCCTGAGATTCTCCCAAAGTAGAACTTCTAATATTAACTTGTCATTAGAAACATCCCTCGGTCTTCTCTGTACTTTCAAACTAAAGGACTCCTAACTAGGAAGTTATGGGAGAGTGAATAAGAAAGAAGGGAGGGAAATTCTTCTCTAATTTATTCCTGGTATCCCTTACTCCCTCATTCCTAGACCTGTTCACAGCAAAAAAGCTGTTGACCATCTTTAATCCGTGAGTTTATTTTTGAGGTATGTAGTCCAATAGATAGGGAACTGGGGAAAATAACAGTATAACTTTTTAGTCTAGTGTGGCATAACATTTTTAGAAGAAAGACATAAAAATGGAGAGAAGTTTGGAAAGGATGATATTTCTTTAATATTTAATATGTATTCCTAAAGCTAATATTTCAGAGCTTTTTGACCTAATACTCCCCATTTATTCTCATAACTCTGTCCTAAAGTAGGTAAGCCAGGTATGATTATCTCCTTTCTTTATGCATTAGAATGCTACTGGGAATAATAATGCCTAAGCTTAAAGGAATTAAAATGATCTGCCCAAGGTCACATAGATGGCAGAACTGGAACCAAAATCCAAGTGTCTCTCTGCTCAATGAAAATTTTCCAGTGTTACATAACAAAAGTCAAATAGTGTAATAATAAATACTAACTGCAGGTGAATGCAGGAATTAAATCCACCCTCTAACTTTTAACATTCAAAGAAAAATTAAAATTTTATAAATAACTTCAAAGTCAACTAGTACCTTAGCATCTAATTAGTGATCCTTCAACATAATGACATTTAATTTCTATATTCAGGAATGGGTCATTAATAAGGGCTGTGAAATATGATTGTACCATATAAAATCCATCCAGTGTATTGATTGGACTCAGACCCAGTTATCAACAGAAAGCCCCAAAACAAAACAAGCAAAAATCCCTTTCATTCAGTGACTGCTAATATTTTAAACTGATAAGAACAGATACTACACTTGATCTTAGCCAAAAGGCCGAGAAGCGATGTGACTGCTAATATTTTAAAGATAAATTGTAGACAGAGACAAATACTGAATGGTCTCCCTTAGATGTAGAATCTGAAAAAGAAAAGAAGAAACCAAGCTTATAGAAAAAGGGATCAGACTTTTGGTTACTAGAGGCAGATGGTGGGGGAGAGAGGGATTTGGAGGAAGATTTTCAAAAAGTACAGACTTCTACTTAATAAGATTAAATAAGTATTAGGGATGTAATATGCAACATGATGACTATAGTTAACACTGCTGTATAATATATAGGAAAGTTAAGAGAATAAATCCTAAGAGTTCACAAGGAGAAAGCTTTTTTTTCTTATCTTATATGAGATAATGGAGGTTAGTTGAACTGATTGTGGGAATCATTTCACAATATATATAAGTCAGCCCATCATGATGTATGCATTAAACTTACATAGTGATGTATGTCAATTATTTCTCAATAAAATTCAAAAAAATAAATTGTGATTCCATTTATATCAGGTATCTGAAACATTCAAATTCATAGAAATATTAAGTAGATTGGTGATTATCAGGGCCTGAGGGTAGGGGGAATGGGGCAGTTGTGGTTTTTTTGGTTTTTTAATTCCACTATAGTTAACATGCAGTGTTATATTAGTTTCACGTGTACACCATAGTGATGTAACAATTCTATACATTACTCAGTGCTCATCATGACCAGTGTACTCTTAATTCCCTTCACCTATTTCCCATATTCCCCCACCCACCTCTCCTCTGGTAACCATCACTTTGTTCTCTACTGTTGAGAATCTGTGTTTTGGTTTCCCTTGTTTTTTTCTTTGATCGTTTGTTTTCTTTCTTAAATTCCACATATGAGTGAAATCGTTTGGCATTTGTTTTTCTCTGACTGACGTGGCAAGATTTCATTCTTTTTAATGGCTGAGTAATATATACATATATATCTATATACATACATAAACTTCTTTGCCCATTCATCATCAATCAGTGGACACTTGGGCTGCTTCCATAATTTGGCTATTGCAGATAATGCTGCTATGAACATAGGAGCGCATATCTTTTCAAACTAGTGTTTTCATATTCTTTGGGTGAATACTCAGTAGTGCAATTACTCCATCATATGGTAATTCTTTAAAAGATTTTATTTATTTATTTGAGAGAGAGAGAGAGAGGGAGAGAACAAGTGGGGGCAGGGCAGATGGAGAAGCAGAATCCCCGCTGAGCGGGGAGCCTGACATGGGGCTCAATCCCAGGACCCTGGGATCATGACCTGAGCCGAAGGCAGACGCTTAACCTACTGAGCCTTCCAGGTGCCCCACTTTTTAAATTTTTGAGGAACCTCCATACTGTTTTCCACAGTGTCTGCACCAGTTTGCATTCCCACCAACAGTGTACGAGGGTTCCTTTCTCTCCACATCCTCACCAACACTTGTTGTTTCTCCTGTTTTTGACTTTAGACTTTTCGGCAGGTATGAGGTGATATCTCATTGTGGTTTTGATTTGCATTTTCCTGATGATGAGTAATGTTGAGCATCTTTTCATGTGTCTGTTGGCCGTCTGTGTGTCTTCTTTGGAGAAATGTCAGTTTATGTCTTCTGCCCACTTAATTGGATTATTTGTTTTTTTGGATGTTGAGTTGTATCAGTTCTTTAGATATTTTGGATACTAGCCCTTAATTGGATATGTCATTTGCAAATACCTCCTCCATTCTGTAGGTTGTCTTTTAGTTTTGTTCATTATTTCCTTTTCTCTGAAGATGCTTTTTATTTTGATGTAGTCCCCAAAATTTATTTTTGCATTTGTTCCCTTTGCCCCAGGAGCCATATCTAGAAAGATGTTGCTACTGCTGATGTGAGAGAAGTTACTGCCTGTGCTCTTTTCTAAGAGTTTTGTGGTTTCAGGTCCCACATTTAGGTCCTTAATCCATTTTGAGTTTATTTTTGTGCATGGTGTAAGAAAGTGGTCCAGTTCCATTCTTATGCATATAGCTGTCCCTTTTTCCCAAACACCATTTGTTGAAGAGACTATCTTTTTCCAGTTGCATATTCTTACCTCCTTTGTCAAAGATTAGTTGGTCATATAATCATGAGTTTATTTCTGGATTTTCTATCCTGTTCTATTGATCTATGTGTCTATTTTTGTGCCAGTACCCTACATTTTTATTACTACAGCTTTGTAATATAACTTGACACCTGGAATTATGATGCTTTGCTTTTCTTTTTCAATATTGCTTCTGCTGTTCAGGGTCTTTTGTGGTTCCATATAGATTTTAAGATTATTTGTCCTAGTTATGTAAAAAATCCTGTTGGTTTTTTTAAGATTGTATTTATTTATTTATTTGAGAGAGAGGGAGAGAGAAATGGAGAGAGAGAGTTCACAAGTGGAGACAGGGGCAGAGAGAGAGAAGAGAATTTTGAGCAGACTCCATGCTGAGCATAGAATGTGACACAGGGCTTAATCCTACAGTGCTAAAATCATGACCTGACCCGAAACCCAGAGCTGGACGCCTAACTAGCTGAGCCCACCCAGGCTCCCTACTGTTGGTTTTTTGATAGGAATTGCCTTAAATGTGTAGAGTACTTTGGGTACTTTGGGTAGTATACACATTTTAGCAATGTTTGTTGTTCCAGTCCATTAGCATGGGGTATCTTTCCATTTCTTTGTGTCAAATTCAATTTCTTTCATCAGTGTTTTATAGCTTTCAGAGTAAAGGTCTTTCACTTCTTTGGTTAGGTTTATTCCTAGGTATCATTATTTTTGGTGCAATCGTAAATTGTAATACCAACTGTAAATGAGATTGTTTTCTTAATTTCTCTCTCTGCTGCTTCATTATTGGTGTATAGAAATGCAACAGATTTCTGTAGATTGATTTTGTATCCTGCGAACTGATTTTGTGTATCAGTTCTAGCAGTTTTTTGGTGTAGTTTTTTGGGTTTTCTATATAGAATATCATTGTCATCTGCAAATAGTGAAAGTTTTACTTCTTCCTTACCAGTTTGGATGTCTTTTATTTCTTTTTGTTATCTGATTGCTGTGGCTAGGAATTCTAGTATTATGTTGAATAAAAGTGGTGAGAGTGGACATCTTTGTCTTGTTCCTGACCTTAAGGGAAAGGCTTTGTTTTTCACCATTGAAGGTGATGTTACCTGTGGGTTTTTCGTACATGGCCTTTATTATGTTGAGGTTATGTTCCCTCTAAACCTACTTTATTGAGGGTTTTTATCATGAATGGATGTTGTACTTTGTCCAGTGCTTTTTCTGCATCTATTGAAATGATCGTATGGTAAGAACCATCCTTTTTCTTATTGATGTGATGTATCAAGTTGATTTATTTGTGAATATTGAGTCATCTTTGCAACCCAGGAATAAATCCCACTTGATCGTGATAAATCCCACTTGAGTGATTTTTCAAAAGAAGTTTATTATTTATTAATTTATTTTATTTTTCTTAAGTAGGCTCCACGCCCAAGGTGGAGTCCAGTGTAGGGCTTGAACCCTCAGATTAAGGCCTGAGCTGAGATGAGGAGTTGGATGCTCAAGCCACTCAGGTGCCCCTATTTATTAAGTAATCTCTACACCCAACGTGGAGCTCGAACCCAGACCCCAAGATCAAGAATCGCATGCTCCTCTGATTGAGCCAGCCAAGCGCCCTGTGAATGATTATTTTAAAGTATTGTCGGATTTGATTTACTAGTATTTTGTTGAGGATTTTTGCATCTATGTTCATTAGAGATATTGGCCTCTATTTCTCTTTTTTTTTTTTTTGTAGTGCCTTTATCTGGTTTTGGTATCAGGGTAATGCTGGTCTCATAGAATGAATTTGGAGGTTTTCCTTCCTTTCTTATTTTTTATAATAGTTTGAGAAAAATAGGCATTAACTCTTCTTTAAAGGCGGTTCTCTTATTCATTCTTGGAACCCCCATGGCTCCACAAGCCCTATACCCTGCTTCCTCATTCCTAGAGAAAGTAGGAGTTACCAAGTTTGAACCCACTCACTCTCTCCGCTCTCCAAGTAAAATTTGGAAATTATAAACTTACCCTATACATACTTCACTCCATTGTTAGGACTCTTACTCCTTTCCAAGGCTAACCTCTCCCCTATCAACCCTCTGTGCCCTCTTTTACCTCTTTCTGGTTCTGCTATACAAATTTCTCCTCTTCTTTATCTTGTGTTCAGCCTTTTCCTCTCCACAGACTCCCCTTATTCTACAAAATGCGCAAGACTACCATGAGCTACTACACTGGCCCATCTATTGTGACCCATAACAGTCTGACTCCGGGCACACTTCTCCTAAATGGACTTCCTACTTGCCAGATCTAATGATCTCTTCATTTACATCCTGCTTGACTTGTCTGGAGCACCTGACCCTTTTCGACAAATACCCTTCGTTCCTTGAATTTCTCCCCTTAGTTTTAACTAATTTTTAATGTGAGGTGACACTGACATAGCATGAAATTGATCATTTTAAAGTGAACAATTCAGGGGCGCCTGGGTGGCTCAATTGGTTAAACATCTGCCTTCGGCTCAGGTCATGGTCCTGGAGTCCCACATGGGGCTTCCAGCTCAGCGGGGAGCCTGCTTCTCCCTCTGACCTTCCCCTATCTCATGCTCTTTCTCTCACTCTCTCAAATAAATAAATAAAATCTTAAAAAAAAATAAAGTGAACAATTCAGTGGCAATTAAAGTGGCAATTCAGTTGTGTAACTACCACCTCTATTTAGTTCTAAGCTATTTTCATGACCTAAAAGGAAACCCCGTATCCATTAAGCAATTACTTCCTACTCCTCCATTTTCCCCCCAACTCCTGACAGCCACCAATCTGTGTTCTGTCTCTATGGATTTACTTATTCTGGATATTTCATATAAATGGAATCATATAATATGTGACCCCTTGTGTCTGGTTTCTTTCATTTAATGGAATTTTTTTTTTATCTCAAATCCTAATATTTTTGCCATATTTGCTTCAGATTTTATTTAGGTGACATCTTTAGCCATCCTTGTGGGTTTGAATTGC